GAATCACCTCTATTTGAAGCTTACTGTTTGGAATGAATCAGTTGCTTTTTTTGCCCTTAGTGTGGACCATCGTCGATATCCTGAACCTTATGAAATGTGGGTGATGGATGATGACTTTAAGGGTGCTTGGACAAAACACTTGACCATTGAGGGCACAGATGATCAGATACGTAGGTCTGGACCTGTGGCGTTGTGGGGCGATGAGTGGCTTATGATTGACAGTGATGGACACGTAGTTTTCTTTAATCTTTTTACCAAAAAGCTTAAGCATATTCCCATTGAAACAGAAGATAAAGATAGTATTATTGTTTATGTGAATAGCATAGTTTCGGTCATGGGACGCAGCCACAAGCTTAAGAGCATAGAGAATACTTGCTCAGATAAAGATGAAGATGCGATAGTGGTGGTAGACGGGAAGAGGGAAAGTTGCCGGAGGTTGTACTCGTATTCGGTTTGGGCCATTCCACCGGCTGATGTTTCCCATAGAATCAAGAAGGTGATGGAGGGCCTCCAGGCAGAGTTTGGTGGGCCGGAGATCGAACCTCACATCCCCATCCTGGGATCCATCCAGATGATGAGTCGTGAGGATGCCCTTAACAAGTTTAGATTTGCTCCCATGGATGACATCGTTGCTAAAGTTGATCGGGTGGTTACTAAGAATTACTATCACCAGTGTGTTTCATTATTGATGGATCGAGAGGTATATATTTTCTCGATCACTTGTTAATACATATTCATTTTCTTGATGTTTTGTTTCCTTTTCATCTTTCTCGTTTTGGTTTGAGCTTGAATAGACTCACTTATCATTACACCTTCTTTTCTTAGTTGTTTGAAAATGCCCAAAGTTGGAGCTACCATTTCGGTTTCTACAACAGTAAGTTGTTGTTTACAGTGACTTAATTTCTTAAAGTGTTGACGGGAATGTAGGTATGTAATCTGCGTGTCTGCAATATTTGATGCAGGTTCTATGCCATATTTGAGTCTCCTCTACGGGAAGTTGACGGAAGAAGAAAGGAAAAAAGCTGGAGAAATTGTTAATATTCTCGACGAGAGCATTACTAGCTTGACCTTCCCCATAACTCACTTTGCATTGTATGAAATAGACTACGATGACAGATCTCTGAAATCTTGGACCAAGATTGCTGAAATCGGTCGTTAGACAAGCTCTCCGGTTGCATATATATGCATAGCACTTGGCACACTACAAAAAATATGGGCACTGCACACAATAAATTATTGTGTGCCCTTTGAGGCCAAAGAGCACCAACATATGTGCTTGTAGACAAATAGCAACAATGTAGCAACAATAATTTTATGTGTGCCCTTTATGAGTGTGTCCTTTTGCCGAAGGGCACAATATAGTTGTTTGTGTTATCAAGGCAAAGCATTATAGAGCCTAATTTGTGCCTTCATTCTGATAGGTCTGACAACCCTTTTCAACTGATTGGGCACTTCTGTGTAATCGTGCCCTATACCAAATTTATTTAAAAAGAATTGAATTTTTTTTTCTTTTCACATGAATTACATCCGGATTCTTGCCCACTCACATACTAATTATATCGATCTATAATTAATAAACCTTAAACTGCATCAGTTGAGAAGAAATTTGAAAAGAAGAAAAGAAAAAGAAAAAAAAAGACCTTAACTCAAATTCATGAATTGGGTGAGGTACTAAGATTAGAAACAATATATGAAGAGAAATTCGAATGAGTTTAACTAGGTAATATATACTAAGTGAATGAAGTTGTCTAACATTTTACAAGATAACAGCATCTAAAATCTACCAAAATTGAGGTCCTTCTATCTCAACCTCCACATGAATATCATCTAGTACTAGCGCCAATATATTTCTCTGGATAACCTCCACTGTCACTTTTTCTGCTAGCATTATACACAAAATACAAGAGAGAGTGGAGAGAGAGAAAGAGAGAGAGAGAGAGAGAGAGAGATTCGGTGAGAAATGAAGAGAGAAGTGATGGTGGGTAAATAAGAGAGAGTGGAGTGGTAAGTGATTACACGGACATTACTATTAACCAACAATGCCTGATGACCAAGTAAAATATAGTAACTACCAAGACCATAACGCAACGAGGTGCACAAAAGGGATATTGCACGCATGCAAAATATCCCATCCAAACAACAACCGGTCATTACCACATGCAATATGTGTGACACATTCAGAGAAACCGAAAACGACATTCAAAGTCCACGAGTCCGATGCATAGGATTTGACAAAAGCATTTAAAAAATATTTTTGACCCACATGCAGCCGACCAAATTCCTAACAAACTTTCGTTTAAGAATCACTAAAGATGGACACACAATTCGGACTGAGAAGGAAGCCCCTTCTTGGTGACATGTTGCACTATTGAAATCCTCTGACTTGGAATGGGGGCAAGGTGAAAGAACAAACGAAATCAAAAAACAAAGACAATTCAAACATGTTAGACTAACAATTAAATTTGGAGGTCATTCCGGGTATGATCCGACACTTCCTCAACCTTAATCTGGTCAATGCATTACCGTGAGTCTAGGGCAAAAGGTTTTCCATTAGCTTAATATTTAATACCTAGTACCGGAGTAAGGTGGTATTCCGGATATCGCGGTGGAAATCTTTACAAATACTAAATTTGGAGGTGATGTTTTCCCAAAACAACGTCACCAAAGATGGCTTTTGAACTCTGCCCCGGGCCCATGAGCTTACCTGTGTTTTTCCTCAACACTTCTTACTTCGAATAGATTGACAGATTAAACTCTATTCATCGATTAGGAAACAAACAGTATTCATCATCATTACAAATTTTTTTGCATGACATTCAAGATTGCACCACTGAGTCTGAAATGTCTCTGCTACATTGTACGAAATTGGATCATATGCAAAGATAGAAGACCAAACAGTACGTATTCTAAAGCTGGAGAAAGGCTGATCGGAATAACGTTACCTCAAAAGTCTGGTCACGACTCAACAACCCTGTGAAGAGTTTGACCTAACGGAGTAGCGATGCTACCATCACCTTGATCCGGGACAATAGATGAAATCCAAGTGACTCCGCTTATATGGCCATACTTGTTCCACAAGACATGAAATTTGACCCAAGGGGTACAATAGATGAATTTGTTGTACTAGTAGAATAGGAAGGCTTTATGTTCTCCCTTCCTAAGGCTCTCCTCGCCTCGGCCGGTGAAGTGGAGAATGAGAGTGTTGTAGTTGAAGAAGTTCTTGTGTAGCTTTTGAACCTCTTCTTTCGAAGGCTCTCGATCTCCTCGGTTAAGTGTCTCGACGGCCCGTTCGTCGAACAACGCTTTTAGGTTGAGGTTCGATGGGCACCTGGCAAGGGCAGCATCTATTGGGAGACTAGATGGGGATGTCCTAAGGATAACTGAGATATCAAGGACGGTGGGGCTGATAGGGCCGAAAGGAAAGATCATGGTGTTGGTAGCTGAACACCATAAACTCAGGGTCGCCATAAATAGCTCTTTATCCATGGTGATCTCCATGGTCGAGAGCTTGATGGCGTCATGAATGCCGAGAACGTCCCATTCTTTGTCGAAGAATGTTCCCATTTGGTCGACCCAGACGGCCCAAGCTGTAGTGGTCGAGGGCCAAGCTCCTTGGGGCCGTGCCAAACACCATTTCGACCAGTCAAACCCTTGCAGCACGAGTGTTAGGCACTGTTCCTTGAGGAGGTTGGTGATACATGATGGCACTGCATCTTTGAATAGTGGGCCTAGAATTTGGTGGGTGGTGGCTAGGTCGTTTTCAAAGCGTAGCATTTTGATGGCTCTCCGGTCGATGAAATCTTTGCATTTGTTGCACTCGTTGGAAAGCTTTAAGATCAAGGAGTGGTAAGGAGTCAAAGGTTTGCGTAGGCTAAAAAGGGGGTTTGTGAGAGATGAGTTTGAGGTTTTGTGGTTGGAGCAAGTAGGAATGGCAAGAGAGATTTCAAAGTTTTTGAAGGCATGGGATGCAAATGAAAGAAATATGGGTATTTATAGGCATTTCAGAGGGAAGATCAAACGTTTGGTATTCAGAGGCGCTAGGGTTTTGAATTTGAGGGAAAATTAACCAGGAAATGGCCAATCATTTCGGATATCTTGGGAATCTTCAAAGATAGGATCGAGGTTTTCAGGGATTTGGGACGCACGATTGCATGCGGCTGCGGTTTTAATTCATTAATGAGGAAGAGACGTTTCGACGGGCGCACGTTTTTGAGGGCCATGACTCCAATTGTTGTTGGCGATGTTTCATCGTCACTTTTTCCTTTACCAGTTTTGAAAAAAATGGAGTTTTTAGATTTTATGACTTAAATAAGATATTTTTATATTTTAACATGAATCGTTTTCTAAATCTAATTCAAGTATTTATTATTAAAACTTACCATATTTAAGTGTTATAACATTTATAAACCTATTCTTAAGTCATGTATATTTTTATGCTCCAATCACACTAATAGATAAAAATTTATCCAAAATTTAAATTCTTATAATTTAAAAAAGTCAACAACGATACATAAAAAATTTATATGAAAAAAACTCATGGGTACAAAGTATTGCGACAAATGTATATGTACATAAAATTGTGGTACGAATACATTAGTACATAAGTTTTAGTACAAATGTCTCACCTACATAACTATAATCCACACATAAGTACGTAATATGCATATATATATATATATATATATATATATATATATGGAGAAATTCACGCATAATGAAGAAATTGAACTTAGTACAAACTCAACTATCGTTTACGTGTGCTACAAGCAAACGTGAAACCTTATCACAAACTCTTTCGTATAAATCCTTCCAAAAGTCGTGGAACTTAAAAAAATCCTCTCACAGAAATACATGGGACTTAGGACTCGTTTAACAAGTACTAGTGATTAAAAACGCTTTTAAAAGAATATTTTTTAGTTCTAAAAACACTTTTAAGTATTTCTTACCATTTATTTAGGCCTAAAGCCCAACAGGCCCCAGGTTGCTAAACCCGTCACCCTTTTCCGTGCTATGGCGCGAAAAGACTCCCAATTCCAAAAATCCAGTGCGATATTAGGGTTTCACCTCACATGCTACCGGTAGTCTGGTCACTGCTGCTTCCTCTCCCCCACCGCAACGATTTCCGGATTTTCAGACCAGCTTGAAGAAATCAGGGGTCTGATTTCTTCAGCCGCCACCAAAGCAAACAAGTCGTTCGCCTACTCCACCCTCTTACACCTCCAGCAGCAATCCTCCGACCGTCACGATTCAATTCAAATGCTTGCGCGGAGCTGCCGGAGCCTCATCCGTCCGACCGTCGCCGTTGTTCGGAACAATGACGAAGAAATGTGAGTTCTTCCGATTCGAAATCTCATTTTTCTGGGTTTTTCATTTATTTTAATGGTGTGGTTTAACTGAATACGTCTTGGATTTTTCTTTTTTATTTAAAAAATTTGCAGTGCAACTCAGGCATTGGAATGCTTGGGCTTCATGATATATCATCCGTCCATCGTCGCCGAAATCGCAGGTACATGTAGCCACTCAAAATTCTGATTCGTTTGAAATTAAAATTTTGAACTTTTTATGCAGCTGAGCTTAAACTGATAACCAAATTTCTGTCACCAATTTCTTTGTTTCGCAGCGGATGATGTCAAATTTGTTTTAGATTCACTGGCAAAGCTCATTACAACCACAAAAATGAAGGTTATTTCTTTATATTGACGGGAATTTATTACTACAAGCGATGATCTTTTTGTGTTTTTAGTTTTTGTTTTTTCGCGTGTCCGAATAGTAACCTGCTGATTTCATAACTGCAGTCTGTTTGCAATTTCGGGGTGTGGTGCATATCTATCCAACAATTGAGTACACCACTTTTAGCTGCCCCTTTCCATTCTCTTTTGCTTGCAATTGTTCATGCCATTGACAATCCTATCAGTTCTTTGTCGACTACTTTTGAGGCTATTCAGGTAATACATCGCAAGTATCATGCGTTTTAAATAGTGTTGTTTTCATACTAATTCTTCTGAATATGCCTTATGTTATTGTGACAGGCTGTTATCGCATATATGGGCTCCTTCAGTATATAGAAGACTCCTTAGCTCTGATAAGAGGGAGAGGGATATGTCAGAGAGGTGTTTATTGAACACTAGGTCTACAATATTACCCCCCCTGCTAAATCTTTCCTAGGTACTCACTTGCTCATGTCATTTTCTTGAAATATGACTTCTAGTATGGGTAGCTCATGCCGTGTCATGGAAAAATTAACCATATGATTATATAGCATCCCTTCCATTGGCTTCACGGGTCTCACATAGAACCATGAGGTGGCTTTCCATGATCCTGTCTTGCTGGTTATTCTGTAATTTATATTGACATGTACATTTCCTTTTTCTTCATTTTCTTCCATAAACAGGCAGTTGTCAAAGATTTGAAGCCAAGGTTGCTTACTGGGATGCACCACATGCTAACCAGTGGCTTGAAGGTTCAAACTATTCAAGCATGGGGATGGTTTATCCGCTTACTGGGATCTCGTGCCTTGAAGAACAGGCAGTTAATTAATCAGATGCTAAAAATTCCCGAGCAGACATTTTCAGATCATGACTCACAAGTTCAAATTGCTTCACAAGTAAGTCTAATTCCAAAGAATAGATGATGTGTTTTTCTTAATGATTTCATTTATGTTATGCTCCTTGGAAGCTAGATCCAAGTCCCTAATCCTTGTCAGCGTTAAAACTTAATCTAGTCTCGGAAAATCCAGACTTTCAGATTCCATGTCTTAAGCTAAGATTGTTATGTACTCCAATTTTGCAGGTTGCCTGGGAAGGTCTTATTGATGCCCTTGTTCACCCTACCATGATATTACCCTTTGAGACAAATGTGACAAAAAAGGACAATGGTATGGAACAAATAGGAACATGCAAAGGAAACGGTAGTGAAATTCAAAAAGAGGGATACTTGAAAAGCACAAAGCTCATTATGACGCCACTGATAGGCATCATGCCGACTAAATGTGATGTATCTGTTCACTTAGCTTGCTTGAACACGTGGTGTTATTTATTGCATAAACTTGATACCTCTCTCAGTGATTCTTCTATCATCAGAATGGTACTAGAGCCAGTTGTTGAGGCAGTTTTTCAAGTTGATCCTGATAGTAAGAGCATCTGGGCCAGGAATCTGTGCATAGATTTGCTTAATGTTTTCATATTGGCAAAATGTAAAGATATAGATTATGACTCACTTAATCAAGTGAACCATCAGTTATTGGGCAAAACCTCTAGGATTGCTCCCTTTGTATCTGGAAGTTTCTCTTGGAAGCATTGTGCCATCAAATGGTTTCCATGGGATCTGAGTCTTTTAGACTTCCATTTAAAGATGATCTACATTCTTATCTGTCAAGCGTCAAGGGAAACTGTCTCCCACGATAACAGGATTTCAGCTGCGGATGCCTCCTTAAGGTTATTTAGATCTGTTTTCAAAGGAGTTCAGTTGGAGTTGAAAAGGTCGTCTATCAGTTATGATAATATTATGTTTTGTTTGAATGCAATATTGAAGTTCGTAAAAAATACTTGTGAAAAAGTTATTTCAGATTGTAGTGACAGAAATGACTTACATCACATATCGCTTCAGTTGGTGGAGGCTGTCTGTGCGGAGATTGAACATACTATAGTGGGATTCCCTATTTACAGGGTGCCATTTCACCAATGGTTTATTTAAGTGTACTTTACTTCTGCTTAGTGGTTCAGTCAACAATGACCGAACCGAAAACAGACATCAATCTTCAGAGAATGCAGAATTATTTCAAATATCTGTTATCAATGTTTGATCCCCTGGAAAGCCTAGTTGTCACTACTGGATTATTGTACAAGCACAGTGGTCCTAGCTGCTTAAGGATGTGGATTGCAGTGGCAGAAGGTTTGAAGTTCTACATTGATGATATGAAGGATTTTTCGTCATTGAAAATGGAGTCTGACTGCAAATGTTGTTTTGCCATGTGCGATCTGTTGTCCTATCCACTAGTTGTATGCTCCTGTACTCCGAAATACTTTATGTCTGCAGACCTTGGAAGCCCCGCAAAAGAATCTCATGCTTCACATCACATACAGGTTGAGCTTGAACAAGTTATCACACTCTGGATGTCCCTCTATTGCTCTCTCTGCACCTCAATATCTGGGTGTTTCATTGGCGGCAGTTTCTTTGAGGATCTATTTTCAATATTGGATAGGTGCCTTGAAAAGTTTGCTAGCATGCTGTTGTGTGCTGATGAGTATGTCATAAAATTCAATGATCTGGCTCTTCATCGCATTTCCTCATATGGCGATGTGTTGATATGTATTTGATCAATTGTACGTATTTGATCAATTGTACAAGAGTTTGTAGATAGTATATTTGAGCAGTTTCACTATGAAACACCGGCTAGTAATCTTATAAAGAAGACAATGTGAACGACAAGAGACGACTTCTTTCTATATCTATTATTGAGCTATCCAACTATTTGTGGAAGAGACCACTTTGTTTGGTTTGAGATATCTCATTGTCTGGGAAGAGACTAGTTGGTTTATTGTGTGTGATATCATAGCTATGAGGGCGTTAAGCTAAATGACTTATGCATATGTACTTGATATAATTGTTTTGACGTCAGAATTGGATTTAGCTAATCATTTGACAAATCCACTAAGCTAAATGCTAGTGATGATTATGACATCAAGGGGATGAGACGTATGCCTATAACATCGATCAAGAGTGATGGTAACCCAACCTATGTGAATGGAGATGCCATGAAGTAGGTTCATATGGGTAAGAACAAGTCACTTGTTGATTGGGTCTGCATTATCAATTTATATCTAATGTTATTATTGTTGAGAGTCTATCTCTATGGTGCAGATAGACTCTCAACAAACACCAGTGTTGATGCGTTGGATTCTCATTTTCCTTTCGTATTTCCTTGTCTTTTTTAAACTTGTTTTACTCAAATTCCTTTTGTGATTCAATTTGTATTTTGAAATATGTGGGGAATTGTTGGCATTTTTGATTGGGTATTTCAAAATACAACTCCTCATTGATCATGTTAATATAATTCTTATTGATTTTTTCTAATCTCAATTTCAGTTTTTCTTGCAAACCAAAAACTGAAGCATTAAAGCGGTTATAATATTGGGGCTATAAATTACATTCTCTCTTTGAATATGCCATCTTGATTAACCCATTAATTGGGCAATTATATTTTTTGAAGAAAAATTGGGCAATTATATAGTCTAACGTTTCTAGACCATGCTTAATCATGTTTACTTTTCTCATGTTCTATATAAAAACAACTCTTCAAGCCGTGAGTATTATGGTTGATCTTTACCTAGACTACTCCTTTGCTATTGAACTTCAAATATTTTCTTTCCTACAAACCTCACCTAGTTGAATCTCACCTTCCTCTCCTCTTTTGATTTCGTGTATTCTCTCAAATGCTATTATAATTTCACCTCTCATATGCCTAATGAAGGGTCATAGGTTGTTGTATCCTGAGGGTAAGGCACCATAACCCATTACACCAAGACATTGTCTTAGAGAGGCGAAATCTATTCTTAAGGACAGTGACTGCACACCTCAACCTAAAATCTTATTCAAATCGAGTATCGACGAAGAGTGTTCTCTACCTACAAAAGATAAATATTTTATCTTATTTGATTTATTTTATTTAATAAATTGTGGTGATAAAATTATGATATAATATTATTAATTTTGTGGTTTGTTTATCACAAATGTTTCCAACAGTAGTTAAGGTTCTCACCGTGCCAAATTTCAATACATATCATTCCTCCATATATGGTACAATAACAAAAATAATAAACTCAAAATTCAAACCAAACAATACAAAACCAAAATAATATATACAATAATGACAAATGAAATATGAAAAAAAAAAAAAAAAATTGCGTGGTTTCCATTCGTTGCTCACAAATGGTAAAAATAGATGTAAAAAAAAGAAAGAATTACTCTAACCTAAAAATTAGCTTACTCATTAATGGAAAGTAAATTCAGGGTAGCAATGTACTCAATGGGTTTAAAATCGAAGAAATAAAATATTAAACAAATGCTTATGGTTTTGGATATTTTATCTTTCTATTGAGGGGATACAACACATGTGAATAATGCAAATGTTAGTCAATGATTTTAAGTCTTTTGTCTAACTTTCTATTGAGGGTAAACAACATATGTGATTAAAGCAAGTGATTTAATGATTTATATCTTAGGGAAGAAGATTATCTCCGGAGCCGGTTCCACCGGAGCCTCTGGATCCTCCTCCTTCCTCTTCTTTCTCTGTAGGTTTTTGAGCCTCTCTGGAGCTAGTTATCGGAAAGCCTTTCAATCCATCCATAGTAAAACACACTGGCGATAGTAATTCTTAGTAACCACCCGATCAACTTTAGCAACGATGTCATCCATAGGGGCAAATCATATACATCCTGATGTGCGTGTGTGTGTCTATATATATATATATCATCATCATCATCATCATAGAAACTGATTTAGATTAGTAAGTAAAGATTTAATTAATTGTTGCAGAAATTATCAGAGATGAAAGAGACCCCCGCAGGAGAAGGAATCGATGGAGGCCGCGCCGGCCGACGTTCTGTTCTGCTCTGCTCTATGACTGCGAGTGGGTGCAAAGCAACTGGGAGGGATTTGTTTCTAATGCAAGGTCCGCAAAGTCCGCACCTCATAAAACGCCTTAATTTTATAAAATGATAGGTGTGAGAGTTGCATTGTTCGAACCTACAACCTCAAAATTTGGGCCGACTCAATAACATTCGTTATTTGTTTGCGGGCCTCTTATGTTATTTGATTTGAGCATAAGTTCATTTTATTCCGTCACGTCATGTTCACGCGACGAATGTAGATTAGGCTTTGAATTTAGTTTGAGTTATACTGTAATTATACGTTATTCGGGGAAGGTAGAATGTTTACGATCATGTCCATTTTAGTGTTATCAGATATGCATACATAGTCTCTATTTCTTGTTCTATTTTGGTGAAGGTATGCATGCATCTTATCTGCCACTCTTTCTATTAGAAAATTAAGATGGTCTTATTACACAGTTACACCCACCCTAAACCATTAGTATTATGGATATTAATTAAATTACACCATCATAAGATTTAGCCTAGGATTTAAATCATTAATATCAGCTGCTTTAATCACAAGTATTATCCTATTATTCACAAGTGTTACAAGTCTGGTCCATATGATGATCACATACTATAATAGAGTATCCATTCAACTCTAATGGAATGTCGTCTTAGGTTGGATGGATACGACCAAGTGTGAGACGTGTTATTCGACCCAATAACCTTATAGCTAGGTCGGCTCAATATAATTCATTATTTGTTTGTGGGTGTCGTGTTATTTGATTTTGGCCCAAGTTCATTTTATTCCGTCACGTGATACCCACATGGCGAATGTGGATTAGGCAAGACTTAACTTTAGCTCAAATCATACTGTGAAGATATGTTATTTGAGAAATTAATGTAGAATATTTGCATTCCATATGGAATAGATATGAATAATATCCATTTTAGAGTATTGAGATATCCATTCATTGTATCTATATTTCTTATTTTAAATTTGGTAAAAAATATTTATGCATCTTATCTGCCAACCCTACTTTCTATTAAGAATGTAAGATTATCTTATTACACGGTTACACCCTTCCTCTACCATTATTATTAAGGATATTATTTAAAGTATACTATTATAAGATTAGCCTAGGCCTAGGATTAAAAAACGATAAGCATTTTTTTCTAAATTTTATTTCTTCAATTTAAACCCATTGACTACATTGCTACCCCAAATTTACTTTCCATATTTAGATTGATGAGTAAGCTAATTTTTAGGTTGAGTCATTCATTTTTTTTACATCTATTTTTCCCATTTTGTGAGCAACGCATGTAAACCACGCAATATTAATACCATTTTTTTTCATATTTTATTTGTCATTATTGTACATATTATTTGGTTTTGTATTGTTTGGTTTGAATTTTGAATTTTGAGTTTGTTGTTTTTGTTATTGTACCATATATGGAGGAATCATTTGTATTGAAATTTGGCATGGTGAGAACCTTAACTACATGTAGTATATATTCTTTTTGCTTCTACATGTTTTAGAACTTGTTATGGTGATAACTCAAAATCGTGTTTATATCTTTGCTTTAGGTATATAATTGTCTTGGTATCTTCATTGAAGATAGATCGATGGCTACCTAGCTATATTATAGGTAATTAAATGAAGATGTTAAGTAAATATTTTTCATAGAAATAGCCTCTACAATTCAACAAAAAAAAAAAAAAAAGGAAAAAAAAAAGAAGAAAAGATAGTGTTTTAAACATCAATATCATAGGTAAATGATTTGTATATAATTAAGAATTTTTCAATTTAATTCCATATTTACCATAAAGGGAAGAAAAGCCATAAAACTAAGTGGGTTTCTTGTTGATTGATATTCATGACATTCAGGTTGAATGAAGGTTCCTCTCGTGAGCAACCTTGGCTTGATTGGAAATTAACTTATTCTTTAGATGGGGAAGGTGGCATGTGTAATGGTCGTGATGGAGTACTTGAAAATGTATATGTGTTATTTGTTGGTGAATTCTTGAAATGGAAACCAAACAATAATCTGTGTTGGATACAAATTTCTCACAGCATGTCCACACATGCATGCAGTTTCTTTTGCCTATAAATTGAAAACTTGATAGTGATATGTAACAAGTTATATACTGAATTGCAGACTTGTATTGATTTTCATTTGTAGTGGGAGTAGGAATGTTACTTAATTAAGTTTTTCGCAATTTCGCATCTGTTTCGATCGTTTCATTTTAACCCCTTCACCACCTCCACCTCCACCTCCACCCCCACCCCATAGGTACTATAAATACATGCAACTTCGTCTTCAAAACATCAGGTAGAAATAGAAATGGAGTCAAAGTTAGTGCAAGTCATATTTTTCTTCTTGTTTGTCACAGTTTCATCCGCTTACACACCATTCCAATACTTTATGCATGTTCAGTTCTGGCCAGCTGCTGAATGCCAAGCTATAGGGGGGGGTGAATAAATGCCACATCATGCAACCATCTCATCTTCAGTTCACTATTCATGGTCTCTGGCCTGCGAATAAATCATCCTCTTCATCCCTTACCTGCATGGGGGATGCCTTTAATGTGAATGGGGTAATTATTCACAAATTAACTCTCAATAGTTAATATTCATGTGTGTCCCTACGTGTGTGTATGTATGTATATATATGTATCATTATATATCTCCCTGCATGTGTACCGTGTATGTACGTGTGTTTCCGTGTATGTACGTGTATTCTTTGATAGAATTTCTGATCTCTATTGATAATTCACACCCCTTCAGGCCTTATGGGAAGGCTCTGTTATATACATTACAATATACAAACTTTACACTTTAAAAATACAAAGGCTGCACGCCACACATGCAGCAGCACAGCAACAACACATCACTGCACTCGGAGCAATAGCACAGCAATAATAAACTGTCCTTCCTGCTGTCCATGAGTCAGCAACCACATGTCCACTATAGTTGTAATGATGGCAGGCACTTTAGAGTTTAAACATGAGCTGGATGACTTGGTCTTACAGCCCCCCCAAGCTGACAGGCCGAGAAACAACTGGAAGCTTGGACACCAAAAGCTTGAAACGCGAGGAAGACAAGCCCTTTGTAAACAAATCAGCGAGTTGATCTTGAGAACAAATAAAATGTATCAGAAGCTGCTTTCGAACCACCTTCTCACGGACATAGTGATAATCGACCTCTAAGTGTTTTGTTCGCGAATGAAAAACTGGATTGGAAGCTAAGGCTATGGAAGAGACATTATCGCACCATATGTGGGGAAGAAGAAGATGCAGATGAAGGTCTTTGAATAATGACCTGAACCAAGATAGCTCAGCAGCCGTGTAGGCTAGTTGCCTATATTCAGCTTCTGTACTTGACCGAGAGACAGTCTTCTGTTTCTTTGAGCTCCAAGACACCAGATTGGACCCCAAATAAATACAAAAACCTCCTGTAGAGTGACGGGTATCAGGATTGCCCGCATAGTCGGCATCCGAAAAAGCATGCAGTTGCATATCTCCAGGTTTATAAACAAGACCATGATCATACGTGGCCTTTAAATATCGCAGGATACGTTTCACTGCCATCCAATGAGTGTCCTTGGGGGAGTGCATAAATTGGCACACCTGGTTAACAGCATATGAGAGATCCGGTCTCGTGATGGTTAAATATTGCAACGCACCAACAACACTACGATATTGCTCAGGATGTTTGTAGGGTTCACCAACATAAGCACTCAATTTTTGGCCTGTAGAAACTGGAGTGGAGATTGGCTTGGCATCTTTAAACTTCGTTCGCTCAAGCAAGTCCAGAGCATACTTGGATTGAGTCAAATGCAGGTTGTGACCAACGTGAGTGGCTTCAACGCCCAAGAAATAACTAAGGGGACCCAAGTCTTTCATGGAAAACAAAGTGCTAAGCTTTGTGATCAACCATGCCATTTGAGTAGTGTTGTTTCCTGTGAGCAATATGTCATCCACATAAATAAGCAAAATCAAATAAACTCCTCTGTGATTAAAAACAAACAAGGAGTAGTCACACATGGATTCTTGGAACCCTAACTGAAGGAGAAACTCAGAAAATCGTTGAAACCAGGCCCTAGGCGCCTGTTTTAAACCATATAAACTACGTTGCAGTTTACAAACATAGTTAGGATACTGGTTATCAACAAAACCTGGTGGTTGCTTCATGTACACATCCTCATTCAAATACCCATGCAAAAATGCATTCTGAACGTCCAATTGTCGAACATGCCACCTCTGTGAAACTGCCAGACTCAACACAAGTCTAATGGTACTATGCTTGACAACTGGACTAAAGGTCTCCGTATAGTCGATCCCGGATTGTTGATGAAAGCCATTAGCCACAAGTCTAGCCTTATGACGCTCAATCGAGCCATCTGCATGCCGTTTAATCTTGAAAACCCACTTGTTTGGCAATAAGTTCATGGCACGATGGTAAGGCACAAGAGTCCACGTACCACAGCGCTGCAAGGCACTGAATTCTTGAGCCATTGCATTCCTCCATTCTTTATGCTTTATGGCCTGACTAAAACATGTTGGTTCTGCCACCAGAGTGTCAGTATTAACATACAAAGCATATTTCGGGTTTGGCTTTTGTATTCCAGCTTTAGACCGAGTGGTCATAGGATGGATGAGAGGGGGGTCAGGAATCAGCACGGGATCACAGGATTGTGACGGAGTCGGGTTCACATGGACATCAGCAACTATTTCTTGCTCATCTTGGTTTGGGAGAGGTTCACGAGAACTGGAAATGGGGGCAAGATTGGGAGTAGGAGCAGGTGGTTCATTTAGTGGTGGAGTAGCTGGGAAACTAGTTGTAGTGGCGGGTTGGACATTAGGTGGGGCTAGACTGTGGTTAGTTGGTGTACCAGGGAGAGGATCTGAAAAATGAAAAAGAAGCTCAGAGGGTGGAGAGATACCTTTTGTGCAGACGTTTTCCTTGAGAGATGTGAGTTCCTGGAAGGGAAAGGAATCCTCATCGAATAATACATGGCGAGACAAATACACTCGTCTCGTGGATAAATCCAAACACTTGTATCCTTGGTGATTCAACGAATATCCTAAGAAAACACATGACTTAGACTTGGGTTGAAGTTTATGTTTGGCATAGGGTGTCAACCAAGGAAAACATTTACACCCAAACACTTTAAAGGATACATAAATCGGTGTTCGATGAAATAACTTTTCATATGGAGATTTGTTTGACAAAACCTTAGTTGGTAACCTATTAATTAGATATGTGGCTGTCAAACAGGTATCAAACCAATATTTGTCAGGAATGTGGGCATGGGAAAGCATGACAACACTAGTTTCGACTATGTGGCGATGTTTTCGTTCCGCCATTCCATTTTGCTCAGGATGTTTAGGGCATGAAAACCGTTGGGAAATACCTTGAGTCGCAAGAAACTGTTGAAAGGCTTGACTCTTATACTCACCACCTTCATCACATTGAAGGGTTTTAATGAATGTGTTAAACATTTTTTCAACCTGCGCCTTAAATGTGACAAAAATACCAAATACTTCAGATTTGTGTTTCATGGGAAAAATCCAAGAATAGCGAGAATAATCATCGACAAACAAAACATAATAACGAAAACCTTCAATTGATATAACTGGTGAACACCACACGTCAGAATGCAAAAGTTTCAAAGGAGAGTGAGACACAGACTCGGACTTGCTAAAGGGAAGTTTGGTACTCTTGCCCAAAGGACAAGAATCACAAAACGTTACATCGGCAGTACCATGACTTGGTACTTGATTATTTGAAATTAAAAACTTAATAATTGAAGACGCAGGATGACCAAGACGAGAATGCCATTTTTTGGCTGAGACTCTAGCACCTAAGAAAGTTGAAATAGGATACTTGGTTAATCCACCGCCACCTGGAAATGGGTATAACCCATTCTCACATCTCCCTCGGAAAAGCGTCTTCTGGGTCTTGAGGTCCTTGACAAGGAAAAAATGAGGAAATATTAGTAGGTAGCAATGGTTATCAAGAGTGAATTTATGGGCAGAGATAAGGCTAGTGGAGGCGGATGGACAATGAAGGATATTGTTTAGTTCAAATGAGCAAGCCTTAGTACTGATTTTATTCGAACCATAATGTTTAATGGAAAGGCCAGTATCATTACCTACACCACCGATATTCTCATTACCATTGTACTCCTTCGGATTTACCAGATTTTGAATATCAGGAGTGACATGGGCATTAGCTCCTGTGTCCAGTAACCAGGTGGCATTTTGTTGTCGATTCAAAGTAATTGGTGAAGAGGCCATAGCAGTAAGACGTTTAGTTGGAATACGTCCTTCATACGCACCATTCATGCGCTGATAACAATCTAAAGCAGGATGGCCAGGCTTACCACAAATTTGACAAGTGATTCGCTCTCCACTTGTATTGAAGCGTTCCCCATTAACGGCAGGATTACGCTGATTAGTGTTGCGAGGAAAGAAACCTCGCTGGTTGATAGGGGAAGCACCACCTCGATTGGACGGAAAGCCACCACGTCCATTTCCACGAGAACGTCCACCACGTCCTCTTGCAGCTACAAAAGCATTGACTGGAGTAGCTTCCAGCACAGGTACAGTTTGTTCCATCATGCGCCTCTCCGTGGTCAAAATGAGGGCTTCAAGGGTTGGGTACGTGATCGGAGTATCACGTGCCTGAGCTGCATTGACAGTCATCTCGAATGCAGGTCCAAGGTTATTAAGAATAATTTGAACCAGTTCATTATCACTTACTGGTTGTCCGGCGAGGGCAAGATTATCGGAAATAGCATTGACACGATCCAAGTAATCAGCTACTGAGAGATCACCTTTTTTGGTCAGGAGCAATTCATTTCGCAGAAAGAGAATGCGATTCTGAGAAGTGGATGCGTAACGCTGCTCAAGAGCCTCCCATGTCGCACGAGATGTGCGTTTGCTGGCAACAGTTGCTAGAACGGAAGCAGTCAGCGAGCCATTGATCCAACTCAGAACCATTTGATCGCGTTGCACCCATGTAACATACTCCGGATTGACAGCAGTGTTTCCAGCCAATTGTTTCGGAGGACAGTCCAGAGAGCCGTCGACGTAACTCATCACGTCACGACTCTTCAGTATTGGCAAAATCTGCGCCAACCATAGAGGATAGTTGGCACGATCAAGCTTAATATTCACTATGGTAGTCATGGAGGAGAAGAATGGATTGACGGATGAAGTTGCAGGAGGGGGAATAGTTTCAGCCATGGAAACAGTGATGCGGGGGAAAAAAAAAAAAAACAAGGATCTTTTGTCTTTAGACAGAAAGGCTCAGTACCATGATAGAATTTCTGATCTCTATTGATAATTCACACCCCTTCAGGCCTTATGGGAAGGCTCTGTTATATACATTACAATATACAAACTTTACACTTTAAAAATACAAAGGCTGCACGCCACACATGCAGCAGCACAGCAACAACACATCACTGCACTCGGAGCAATAGCACAGCAATAATAAACTGTCCTTCCTGCTGTCCATGAGTCAGCAACCACATGTCCACTATAGTTGTAATGATGGCAGGCACTTTAGAGTTTAAACATGAGCTGGATGACTTGGTCTTACATTCTTAACTAGTTTTCTTCTTATGTTTTAATTAAATAATATATGTAGATGGATGATGCACTGAAAAAGGAGCTACTCAGTTCGTGGTGGGATTGGAAAAAAGGGAATCATGTCGAATTCTGGCAAAGAGAGTATGATAAGCACGGAAAGTGCTCCGACAACGTGTTCCCGAAGACCGAGTACTTCCGGAAGACCCTAGCGACGTACCATGATTTTGATATAGCTCAAATCCTGCAGAAGGCTAATATTGTACCCCAACCACTTCAGCCAAAGATGTCGTTATACAAATTGTACTCCATCGATCAGATAACAAAGGCAATTGAGTCCGAAACTGGTGGACATTCCGTCAATATCAGATGCTATCAACAAATGCAGAAGCAGAGCAAGAAATTAATATATTTGGCCCAAGTCGCCCTCTGCTATGATGAATCTGGCAATAACAGAATTGACTGTGATCCAGGCGAAACAACCAGTTGCAAGTTTCAGCGCACAGACCCGGAAACTGTACCAAGTATAGCCCACATAAAGCTATGGTAACAACTGTAAGATCAATATAAATAAAGTAAGAGGAATACAATAATCACTACATGTACTGTCATAACTAAAGCTGTGCATCTAAAGGGAAAACTTCGAAACAACCACACAACTTCTAAGACTTCGTTAGTGTAGAAACCTTATCAATGAAGAAATACTTATTCATAAATACCTATCATATGAACTAGTAACTGATAACAAAACACGTTCCAGGATTTACTTGCTTCCACTAATTAACATCATCAAAACTAGCTAACAGACCCATCTTTGCAAAATGCTTCTTGAAAACCACAACCGGAACTGCTTTGTTTAAAGGATCTGCAACCATAGAACCGGTCTCCAAGTAATCAATCTTCACCAAACTTGCCGTCACTTTCTCTCGATCAATTAAATATTTGATATCTAAATTACTTGTTGCAAATGATTTTTGTTGTTCTTGCTGAAGAAAATAGCTGCATTGTTATCACAATAAATTTGAATTGGTCTCGAAATAGTATCCACTACACTAAGTCCTGCAATGAAAATTTTCAACCATATAGCTTGATTGACAGTTTCACAACATGAGAGATATTCAGCCACCATGGTAGAGGCTGCCACTGTTGCCTGCTTCACACTTCTTCACGAAACTACACCACATGCCATAGTGAAATATAACCTGATGTAGACTTAAGGTCATCTGGACATCCAGCAAAACATGAATCACTATACCCTTTTAACGCAAGCTCATCAGTTTTCCTGTAAATAAGCATATGATCCTTGGTTCTTTGAAGGTACCTCAATACCCTCTTGGCTACATTCATGTGAGCCACCCCTGCGTCAGATTGAAACCTTCCAAGAACACTAATACTGAAAGCAAGATCAGGTCTTGTGCACACTTGTGTATACATCAAGCTTCCAACAAGAGAGGCATATGGTTTGCCTTCCATGTTTCTTCTTTCCAACTCACTCTTGGGACACTGCTCTTTGCTTAGTTTGTCACCCTTTGAAATTGGCATTTCAGTAATGCCACAAGAAGCCATGTTGAACCTTTTTAAAACCTTGTCGATGTAACCCTTTTAAGATAACCCCAGCAATCCATGTAATATAGTTAATAGTGGAAATAAGCAAATCACAAATACAATTAACCACTAACCTTGTGTAGCCATTGCAGCAGAAAAATAAGAGCTCTTCTACACTCAACACTATTGTATGCAATTAACAAACAATGGGGCTTGTTCTCTCTGTTTTGCGTAATCAATGTGAATGCAGCGACCTCTATTATATATCCTTAGTGGTGGTATTTGATTAGGTTACTTCCCATCACGTAATCCTAATCAATTTGTATAAACCAATATCCTTATCACCACAAACCAAAGTTATCATACCAGAATAGTTAAACCTATTCATACCAGGATTACTGTCAACTTTATATTAGATAAAAAAACATTCCCTGATAGCTTTACAAGTCTAGTCTATCCCAATCTCTTATGACTTCAATCATTTAAGCACGTGATAAACCAAGTGTGCAGCTCTAATTAGATTACATTCTCCCACTACAGCCAACACTTGTTTTCACACATGCCCTGAATCACTATCATGAAACTATCATACACATGAAACTCCAACAAGACATGAAAAATTAATACAACATGCATGCTCGAATGTTTCTGTAATGCACCTCGTATTATAATCCACCTTTAATAAAACTAGTAAACTAGTCTTCTTCATTGTCTCACATTGAGACCTTTAAGTTGCCTTCTGTAATAACAATTAAATATAAATTTTTTTCGAAATAACACGTTAAAAAAAAAAGTATTGTATCATAACTATAAACTGCAAACATGGGAAACTTCTGCAACCAGCAGTTTATTACTTTATTAGCTAAGATAAACTGTAAACTTTAATGCATTTATCAAATAACTAAGGTTGAAAACAAGAACATAATGTAATCAAACCATAGGCTCCCACTAGTCCACGATATCAAGGCTCTCTAAAACCCTCATCTTCTGTATGTGTTTCTTAAAGACCACCACTGGAACTGGCTTGGTTAATGGATCAGCAATCATGGAAGATGTTTCCATGTAATCTATTTTAACCAAGCCCTCTACCACCTTCTCACGAGCAACAAGGAACTTAATATCCAAATTTATTGTAGCATTGGACCTTTTGTTATTTTTGGTAAAGAATATGGCTGCATTGTTGTCACAATAAAGTTGTATTGGCCTTGAGATCAAGTCGACTATTCTGAGACCTGTGATAAAATTCTTCAACCAGGCTCCTTGATTAATTGCTTCACAACAGGACAAGTACTCAGCCATTATTGTTGACGATGCCACTATATCTTGTTTAACACTCCTCCAAGAGATAGCTCCCTCACCCATCATGAATACATAACCAGAAGTTGACTTCAAATCATCGGGACAACCTGCAAAATCTGCATCACTATATCCTTCTAGAACCAGTTGATCAGCAGTTCTTTTGTAGACTAACATGTGTGATTTAGTCCTCTGAAGGTACCTCAATACTCTCTTACCTGCATTCCAATGTGCCTCATCAGCGTTGGACTGAAACCTCCCCAAAACACTAATTGTAAAAGCAAGATCAAGCCTTGTGCATACATTAGGCTCCCAACTAGTGATGCATATGGCTTGTCTTGCATGGCTTCTTTCTCTAAGTTATTTGTAGGACACTGTTCTTTACTCAATTTGTCTCCCGTGGATATCGGCATTTCTGTAGTTCCACACATTGACATATTATATCTCTTCAACACTTTTTCTATATATCCCTTATGCGACAATCCTAGTAACCCTCATTTCCTGTCCCTTTTAATCTCGATACCCAAAACATATGCAGCCTCGCCCAAATCATTCATTTCAAAATGGTTTTGCATGAAAGACTTGGTGTCATTTAAGAGACTCATTCTGCTCGCGGCCAATAAAATGTGATCTACGTAGAGCACCAAAATAATAGAGTTGATCCTATTAATTTTCAAGTAAATGCATGCATCAAAGGGATTCTCAAAAAAACCATGCCTTCTTATTACTCGATGGAATTTTAAGTACCACTGCCTCGACATTTGCTTTAATCCATAAATGGATCTCTTCAATTTACAAACTAAGTGTCCTTTCCCTTCCTCCATAATGTCTTCTTCTAAACACCACTCAATAAGGCTGTTTTTACGTCCATTTGATGTAAAAGCAAGTCAAAATGCACCACCATTTTCATAATAACTCTGAATACATCCTTCATCAATACTGAACTAAACGTGTCTTTATAATCAACCCCTTCTCTTTGAGTAAATCACTTCGCAACTAGCCTCGCCTTATGCCTTTCGATGCTTCATTTCAAATCTCTTTTTGTCTTAAACACCCATTTACACTCTATCGGTTTGATGCCCCGAAATGGTTCTACTAATTCCCAAACATTGTTGTTTTCCATGGAACTCAATTCATTTTTCATTGCATCAATCCACGCCACTAGTCATGGCTTCCTTGAATGAATTAGGGTCTTCGAATTTTGACAAGTGTGATTCACTTTCGGCAAAATAAACAAAATCTTCTAGAGTGCTAGACTTTCCTACCTAGTTGATTTTCTCAATGGAATAGTAGGTTGTTGCATTAATGTTTGTGCTTGTTGTATGATTGGTTGTGCATGCTGCATGATTGATTGTGCTTCATTGGTGACATCTGCATGCACTTCAATCTCATTTTGAACCTCTACATTTTCACCTTATTCATAATTATTGTGTGGTTGATCTTCATGGTTGTCATCAACATTACTATCAGTCATTTGCCCAAGAATATCAACCACGATAATCACTTTATTATGATCTTCAATCTCTGCCCGATTCTCGATAACCACATCTTTTCCTTCCTCGAACATGAACTTGTTTGGATTGGAAGTAAAGTCATCATTACCTTGAGTGCGTTCCAAGAAGATTGCCCTTGCAGTTTCAACGAATTTCATGCTGTAATAGGGAAATAAAATCTATAACCCTTGGATCTGTCTGCATAACCCACGAAGTAACAGCTGATGGCCTTGGAATCTAATTTCTTACCATTAGGATTGTAGATCTTTGCCTTTGCTTGGCAACCCCAGACATGAATGTGTTTTAAACTAAAGCTTTCTCCCAGCCCATAACTCGAAAGAAGTCTCTTCCACAGCTTTGCTAGGAACCCTATTAAGAATGTAACTCGTTGTCTTCAGTGCCTTAGCCCACAAAAAATCTGGGAGTTTTACCTTGCTTATCATGCTTCGAACCATGTCAAAAGTGTTCTATTTCTTCTTTCTGCCACCTTGTTTTGCTCGGGAGTTCCTGGAGTGGTATATTAAGCAACAATACCATGATTTTGCAAGAAAGAAGCAAAGGGACCTGGATGTCTACCTGTTTGATCATACTTTCTATAGTACTCACCTCCCCTATCAGACCTTACAACCTTAATCTTTCTTTCCAATTGGTTTTTAACTTCCTTTTTGTAAATTTCAAAAACTTCTAGGGCTTTAGATTTTTCAGATTTAAATAAACATAACAAAATCTTGAAAAATCATCAATGAAAGTGATAAAATATTTATTTCCTTCAATAATTTGTGTTGGAAAAGGACCACAAATGTCCCTATGAATGAGTTCCAAAAGTTATTTGCTTCATGCGGAACCTTCCTTCCTAGACTTAGCGTATTTTCCTTTGATGCACTCCACACAAATATCAAAATCATTAAAATTTAATGGAGGCAAGATTTCATCTTTCACCAAGAGTTCCATCCTTGGTTTTGAAATATGACAAAGCCTTTTATGCAATAAGTTTGACGACTAAAGTGATTTTGTTTCTTTGCTCTCAGTACTAAAGATAACTTGATTATACTTAAGTGAACATCGAAACATGCCATCAACCAAAAATCCGGTACCAATATGGGAAGAATTTATAAAAAATATTGAAGCCAAACTTATTCTTTGTAAAATAAAACCCTAACAAAACTAATCTTGAAACTGAAACAAGTTTCCTTCTCATCGAAGGTACATAAATGACATTTTCCAAATCTAATTGAAAACCAAAATCTAAATTAAGCCTAACTGTGCCTAGAGCCTTGACTTCAACCCTTCTCCCATTGCCAATGAATACCTTGACTTCATCTTTATTTGGAATTCTCATTGTTATGAAGTCCTGTAATGAGTTCGTAACATGAATGGAAGAGCTAGAGTCAAGCCACCAAGCACTACTAGGTATATCAATCAAATTACTTTCAAAACAAGCAAAAACCTTTTTACACTTTTTAGCTTTTTGTTTAGCAAGCCATGCCTTATATTTAGGACAACTCCTTTTCATATGGCCGACCTTTTTACAAAAGTAACATTTGGAAACCAAAAGTCTGTTAGGTTTAAAAACCCTTTAGGAAGACGAGTGAACATTTCTAGTATGATCTTTCCTGACGGCATCCGAGTTTGATGCCTTGACATCTCTATTGCTGCTTTGAACAAAATTAACCATTTCATCCTTTTCTTTGTCCATTTTCTCCTTTTTCATCGTAACCTTACTTACACAGATGGAGATTAACTCGTTGACAACCCATTTCTCACGTAAAGCATTGTAAGACACTTTGAGTTGAGTATATGTATCAGGGAGTGAATTCATAATAACATGCACGAGGAAAGTTTCAAATATGGGTACCTCTAGTGTTTTCAGTTTTCCAGCAACATCAATCATTTTCAGAATATACTCATACACACTCTCAACACCATCATACCTCATGGTTGTCAATAAATTCATAAGGTTCCTAGTTTCACTCGTCTGACTCATTGTACCTTTCTTCAATCGATTTCAAGAAGTCATATGCATTTGATGTCTTTGGAAAACCACCACGCACCACTTCGATCATTGATCTCTTAATAATCATCAAGCAAATCCTGTTGCACCTTTCCCATTTCTCATGCTTGGATATCTGGCTTGCTCTGCTTCATTCAGTGGGCACCGATAGTTCCTCAGTTCTTAGTGCTAGATCCCAGTCCATCACACCAAGCACTATCTCCAAATCTTGCTTCCACTTT